TTCAAAGAAAATAGGGTGAATTAATTGATATTCTTTTCTGTGGCCAAAGTTGAATGCCCCACAGAAAGATGTTATTTGGGATGCAACCAAAGCTGAAACTCAGCTAAATGAGGTGAACTGGTCTTCTGCATAATAATGTTCACAGCCTAAGGATACCTTTAAGCAATGGGAGGCTAGAGAAGTCACAGAATGCTGGGGTATCTGGTCTTGGTACAATCTGACAACCTTTGTGTGCTTCATGGCTAAATTCAATATAGCTATTCTGGCGTCCAATCTAGATATTATTTTCAAGTTGGAAATCCTCCTCCTCCTAAATCTGGTGGCAGTGTTAACTGGAGTAAGGATACATAACTTGCCTTTCCATCATGAATTATTGCTTGAATCCCTGATTCCCAGATTCAGATTTTTTTTTCCCAACCCCTAAGAGTGTCGAAACTATAACTGCCAGCATTCCCAGCTAGGCTGGCCAACTCAGGGAGCTGTGGTTGTTAACAGAAAGGCAATAAGTTGGAGAAAGGTTTTCAGATGTTTACAGTATTTTGAATTGGAAGATTAGCTGAGCTCAACCATGCAGTTGTGGGTGGGGTATAATTTGGTATATGTGACCTACCCCTTTAAGAGAGAAGTTTGCAATGCAGTTTTTTTTCCCCCTTCACATTTTCCACATTTCTGTTAGTCCCCACTAAGCATTTGAAAGCATGATGTACCACATGCAAGCAAAGAAAAATGTGTGTGGTACCACAAAAAATATTTGTGCCTCTCTAAGTCTTAGGTGAAGTACCAGGAACTATAAGAAAATTGGCTGTTAAATGATAAATTTGAATCTTATAAGAAGTCAATGTTAAATATTTAAAGTGTAACCCTATATAAATGAATGAGATTAATTTGAATGCAGTTTGAAGAATGTGATAGTATATAATGAAATATATTATAAATAGTAATAATAGCAGTAATTGTTAAGTAATTCTTTTGCCACACTGTTATAAATTAATACCAGTGTGGCAAAAGAAAGTAAAGATAGTATCAAAAGTAATAGGCACCTTGAGTGCAATTCCAAAACACCTGGAGCAACATTTAAGCACTGTTGGCATTGACAAAATCATCATCATTCAATTGCAGAAGGCAGCTTTGCCTTGAACAGCTTAAATCCTGTGACAATATCTTTAACAACATCAAACAACATCTGCCTGCCATTGGTCCTTGGGAAGGACTTAATAATAGGTGGACAAAAAGGCCAAATCTAGTCTGAACACTGGCTGTATTATGAACCATGATAATAATAATACTCTTTATTATTGAAGAGTCAAACTTTTCAATATAAAACTTCCATTTAGTTTTTATCTTCACTCTGCTCATTTATTGGGAATGTGATCCAGACATATCCTTTGGCTTGAAAAGTTGCTGGTCTGCTGGTATTCTGGTGGGTGCTCTGAACTATGCCTCATGATTACCTTTCTCCCATGAGGCATAGTTGAGATGCTGGGAATACATCTGAAACTGGCCAGATTGGCCAACTAGATGTGCAGAAACTGGCCTATGAACTGTCTCTGCCAACATTAAAGGAGAAGCCTCTTCTCCAACACTAATCAGGATTTTCTTGGCAGGCCAGCTCTACAGAAGAAAGCTTTCAGAGCTCCAGAGGAAACAAGGTCAAGCAACATTGGTAGTAAAGCAAAAATAATTGCTTTATTTCATGGAGCAGGTTTGACAGACTGTTCTGTTTAAACTTTCACCCAAGTGAAGTGACTTTTCAAACACTTTGTGCCATGTCCCATTGTCATCCTATAAGCAGAATCCTCTCCACAGATCTAAACAGGAACATGGTGTACATTGTTTGAAGAGGAATCTTTTTTTTTAATGTTAGAAGCCCCAGCAAATAAAAGCCTATGTTAATAACAGGAGGCGGGGAGATGATGTTTAGTCTGCTATCAGGAAAAAAGGACTTCATCTTTGTTGTTATTATTATGGTTCATTGTACAATCAGCCAGATGGTCAGACTGGATCTGGCATTTTTGTCTGCCTACTGAGTCCTTCCCAAGGACCTGAGAGAGGCATATGTGGATGTTTAATGTTGTTACAGATACGATTGAAGGGTGTAAGCTGTTCCAAGTAAACCTGCCTTTTGAAATTGACTGATGGCGATTTTGTTAATGCCAATAGTGTCCAATGGTGCTCCAATTGTTCAATTGTGATTATAATTATTTAATATTATTGTATACAGAAGCATAGAATATTTATTTTAGTAATAAAGGTGATGCCAACATTGCCTTTTTATTACACAGCATGAGAATTATATAGAAATCAATTGGCATTCTTGTAACGGGAGAAGGAAGAGGAACTAAAGTTACCTAAACAGCAAATATCTTTAGACCTGTTCATACAAGGAATAACAATTGTTTAAATATTTCTTTCATTCTCTAGGTTCTAGGTGGCATGCACAAAGTTCCTGACTGTCTTTCTCCAGACTCTTTATCCATTCCAAATCTCTTAAGGTTCACAAAGTGCCTCAGGTTATATTGTGCACCTAAAACTGGCTGCATAATGCATATAATAATTGTTTATAATTTGCAAAGGAGAAACAAAACAGATACAGGAAATAGCTGAGCATGACCTTCAAGAACAATGATATTGGTATATTATTTTACTAAAACTGGGGATCTCTCTCTCTCTTTCTGACACCTGTGCATAGAAGAATTAAAGCTGATTATGGACAAGTATATTTTCTATGGGTACTTGTATATTTGAATGGGAAACAAAGATTGCATTATATTGGGGAAAATAAATACAATATTTAAGAGTAGGAGAGGGTGAATCAGTTTCTCTGGCTCAGAATCAGTTGAATCTGTTTCTGCAGTTATAAAAGATACATTTCAGAACAAGCAAATATAAGAATAAATTGTTGAAGCACTGAGCTAGGATGAAGTAGTCCTACATTCAAGTCCACCCTCCACTATGGAAAATCACTGAATGGTTTGGGGCTAGTCACTTTCTTTCAGCTCAGTCTGCCATACAACATGATAATTATGGGGAGAAAATTGAGATTTGCTCATATGAGCCACTTTGAGTTGGTGGAGAAAGCTTTCTACCCATCCATCCGCACACACTTGTCTTGCAAACAAGCTGAAGCGCAGCTTTGGAACACTCACTCATGGTTATACAGGCTTTGTTCCGATCGCCATTGTGACTACAGATGTTCAGGGATGGGTCTCAGTTGGCAGCTGCCCTCTTCTATGTGCCAAATACCAGAAACCAGATGTTACAGAGGTTGTAGAAGCTGTTTACATCCAGCTTTATGGATGACATGCAGCTCAAAGGTCATGAAATGTCTGCACTACCAGAATAAAAATCCTGGCCAAGGGATACCCAATTTTCTTACTTACAGCTATCTCTGGCTGTTCTGGGAATGGATGGCCAGCCTGCCAGCCTGCCTATTATTTGTCTCAAATTATATATCAAAAGGCTAATTATACAAACAAGCTAATGATGGTAAAGTTTGAGTCAGTTAGCTAAAAGGGTAATAGCTGGAACTGGCAGGGAAAGTATATTAGAAGTTGTCTGCATCACAGCATTGCAAAACAGCCTAAATGAATAGCTGATGACCATCTTCTATCTTTGGGAAATGTTGGTTATCTCACATCCACCCCACCCCACAATCCCATCTTCACTTCTTCCTTATCAAGGAACAGAACCATCCTTCCCTCCCAAGATTCAGGGGATGGAGTCTTCGATAAGAAACTGATGCCATTGAGTGATGCTTTGTTTTTAGGTGAAGAAATCATTTTAAAAAAGCATCCTGTGACATTTGGACAGCTGGCCCTTGTGCAGAATACAACGAGCTAAGAATTGAAAAATGCCGCCAGGGACATTGTGCTTCTTACTCCAGCTTTGCATCGTTTGGGTAACAGCAAAATGAGAATCTCTACCATGAAAGCCTGCTGACTAATTTGGGATCATCAGCCATTTAAAATAGGATCCGCCAACATTTTGTGATTAATTCATACTTATAGTCTCTAAAGCTCCTTCACAAACGAGGAAGGCGACCGGGTGAGACTTTTGAGTAAACTGGCATTTGGGGGGAGTATTCGGCCCATCCAAAAATCCGATGGAGCTATGAAGCTCTCTCCTGGCCTCGAAGCTGCCGTTTTGCGGGGCTCCTCTGTTATTCACTTAAGCATTCCGAGGAGATGGCTCAGTAATCGTAGAAATGAAATGAAATTTCCGTTTCTTTTTCATTGTGTTTCATTTCATAGAAAATGAGTGGGCAGCGGAACAAGAGGATCAACGAAAGCGGGATGGGGGAAAGGCATCCTTTAAAGGCCAGCCGTCTTAAAATTGAAGATTTTATACCCGCCTGGGTGTATAAGAACAGTAGTAATAATCGTAATAATGATGATAATAATGGGAGAAGCAAGCCGGGACTTCACAGACAACGTCAAAATCTCTCTCTTTCTGCCGAAAAAAGCCTGACGGCAGCCTCCGCACAGCATCTTATTGGAAGGCAGGCTCGGCCAATGCCGGATCGCGTCGCCCCATCTGGCTTCGTCTTCAAAATGTAAGCCGAAGTCGGCCGGCCTTCACCTTCGAAAGATGGTCGCCAGCCAATGGCGGACCATCAGTTTGCCGGGGGAGAGCGGGGATTGGCGCAGGAGCTCTGCTGATCCACTCTGGAAAGCTCCTTGATGTTTCTTGGCGCGGGGATGGAGAGGCGGAGGTGGCCCCCGCTGGCGGGGGGCGGGCGGGGGGGTATAGGCGAAGGAAAATCCTCCGCGGCAGCCTAGGGGGCACTCTGAGCTGGCGGCGGAGTCGGGGGAATCTCACCCGCTTGGGAAGCAGGCAAGGCGGGGGGCGGGGGGGGGAGAGAGAGAGAGAGAGAGAGAGACAAAGAGGGAGGAGGGCAAAGCGAAGGCGCAGAATTACGTCGGGGGTGGGGGAAGCTCGAGCAGCCCTTTCTCCAGCTCCCCGCAGGATCCAGAGAAAAGACGGACGAGGCGGACAAAGAGACCATGGGGAAAGGCGGGGAGCAAGGTGAAGAATGCGGCGAACGGGAGGCGCCGATTCCCGCGTACACCTGGGAGGAGATCCAAAAGCACAACCTGCGCACGGACAAGTGGTTGGTGATCGAGCGAAAGGTGTACAATATCACCCAGTGGGTTAAAAGGCACCCGGGGGGAATCCGCGTGATCAGTCACTACGCCGGCGAAGATGCCACGGTAAGTGCTCTTCGCAGGCGGCGGCGGCGGCGGAGGAGGAGGAGGAGGAGGAGGCTTCCTTGCCTGGAGCAAATGGCTGCTGCTGCTGCTCCGGTCCCTCGCCGGGGCTCCATCTCTTTCTCTCACCTGCTGCTCTTAGAAACGCGGCCGCGGGGCAGGGAAACCGGTCGCTCCGGCTGGCGCGCTGTGGAAACACGCCGAATGGGTTTGCCCTAAAACTGCGTTTGCTCTGCTTTGAGGGTTTGGAGTGCCTGCCGGCCCGGAGTTTTTCCCATCCAAGAATCCGGGAGCGCTGAGGGACAAAAGCGGGCGTTGGTAAACGGGGCCGGGGAGCAAACCGCGGCCGCCCATTTCTTGCATCTCTCCCTTTCCTGCACCGAGATGATCATCCCGGGGTGACGCGAGGTCAACATTAGAATCGGCTGTCTCTCCTGGGCCGGCAGTTGCTCGGGATTGGCTTGTTGCCTTGGATACCCTGGATCACCACCGTCATCTCTTCCCCCACCCCACCCCGCCCCCCAAAACCCCACCTCAGCTCCTTGCAATAATAGTAGCGGAGTTCTTTTCCAATAAAACGCAGCCAAATTTGGCAAAGCCAGGGCCGTCTTTTGCGATGCCGGTTGGTTTCTAAAGCCACAAAAGCGCAGCCTAACCGGGGCTTGATCCAGGATCAAACGGAATCCGTGCTTTGTAGACCAAAGAGGTGCCCGGCTTCTAAGGTGATCCAGCCAAGCCCGATTTTGGCAGGGTTCTTATGACATTCCACGAGGGGCCACCGGGCACCAAACTTACCAGGAGGAAAAGAAAGACTTAAGGCTAACAGTAGAGCCTTCTTTAAGTGGCTAAATGTGAGGTGATGAGAGCTGAAGGACGGGATCTCTGCATATGCCGAGAAGCATTGTTTTAATTTGTCTCCTATATCCTGGAACTAAATCCTGAGAGAGGAACACCAATTGTTAGCATTCAGTAGTCCTGGCCATGAAAAGCATTGAGGGCATTGCTATTTCTTAGTTCCTAAATATATTAACACTGACTTTTTAATTTAAGAGAGGCATTCTAGACAATGATCCTGTTCATTTGTGTCATCCTTTTTATGATCTACAGCAAAGCCTGAGGAGCCAGAACATGTTTGTAGCTTAATGAGTGGACTCATGCATTTATTTTACCACCACCATCACCCCTCCTTCTCCTCCTCCTCCTCCATATAAAGAGAGACCATCTTATTCCCAATCAGCTCCTTTTAAGTTTTTCCTCTACTTTCTCAACAGTAGAATTAAGAAAACTGATAGCCAGAACTATGCTGTCAGCATTGGGATTGACCCACTGTAAAAGTTTTTGTGGAATATTGTGTTGTTCCAGAAATCCATATCTTTTCAAAACAGTTGAATCTTCAAAGACTAAAATGATGGTGAAGAGGAGGGAGGATTTCAGAAGATGGAGTCAAGTTCATCAATTATCCCCCCCCCCAAAAAAAAGTTTGCAACAGTGTCATATTAAATATATTTGGTCCAGATGATCCACCAATCTACAACTGTAGTTATCGAATTGTTTATACTACAATTTATACCGCACTTGTTCTGCTTGTCTATGGTACTGAAGCACACAGAGGTTGGTTCTATTGTCTCTGTTGTTTCAAGATAGATGTTGCTTTCTAAGGCAACATTTTTAAAAACTTGAAACACTGTGAGCTAAAAGGTCTGAACCATGGAATTCTGTAGAACAAAAAGGGGTTTTTAAAAAACATACTGTCACTGCTTTCTAGGAAGGAAACAATTTTTCATCACAAGATGTCCCTAATAGACAACCCTTTGGGGCCTGGTCAGGATAAGAGTTTTAAAAAATATTTTGCCCTTCAGAAGCCATAAGAGTTAATGTCCAATGATGAAAAGTTGTCACTAGATGAGCACAAGCTAACAATTTAAGCTTGGGGAGGGGCATTGTGTATTGAGGGGAATCCAAGGATTCTTGGGGGTTTTGTTTTTTGAAAGTGATAAGGGTAGACATAGCTGCTGTTCTCTTGCAGAATGATATTGTATCAATTTCCTTACTTTTGCAGGTGTGGGGGGGGGGAGCAAAACATGAATTATAGAAAAACAGTCTTTTGGGTATGTGATGGAGTCCACAAAATGTGGACTTCTTAAGGCCAATGGTTCCCCTCATAAAGTATGGGGCAGCTGCTAATCCTATTTTCCCAATGATTTAGCAATCTCAAAGGGACAGTTTTCACTGCCTTTTGTCGTCTTTTTTACAGCAAACTCCACCTTATTGATATATTAAAATCTTCCCGCTCCTCTATCACGTACAAATCCTGGAATCTAAGATTTATACATTGTTTACATTCATTAGAAGGAGATAAAACAGTTTTTAACCCAGTTTGATTATTTGGTTAAGAAAAGTAAAATGGGCATTGGCCTTTCTGCCTTCTATTCTCTTTTTTAGATGAAAATTTAACAACATATTTATTCATAAACATGGTCATTCATAAATAAACCCCACTAATCCAATACTATAAGACTTTTTTAAAAATCAACTAAGCTTGTTGAGAATTTCAGGGTAAAAATTGCTTCTAATTGGCCCAATTGGGTAGGGAAAGATTCTTCCTCACTCTTGCAATTCTGACTCCAGTGTAACCATTTAGAAACTATTAGGAGTTGGGACGGAGGCTGTCAGAAGAGGATGACATAAAGTTTCCACCTTCTCCCTTCAGTTGGAAGATGCTTTCTGTCAAGGAACTGAATGTTAATTAAAGCAGCCAATAGTTCACACACTTTTTATGCAACTTTTAGTTCTATCAAACCATCTCTGAGGTTCAGAGTCCTGAAATTAAAACAGTACTTTCCTGCCATCAGAATTATTCCCCTTTTCCTCCTAGATGTTGAGGGGTCTGCTAGTCATAAAAAACAAATAGTCAAAGTTGACTCAAGGATAATCCAGATAGTAACAATGGATCTTGGCCGGATGCGTAGAAATGGGCAAGACGCACAGTGAGCTTAGAGCCCATGATTGAGGTTGATTGATAGCAGCAGAAATGCAAGCTGAAGTGCACAGGGAGAGAGTGACTCATAAAATATAATGGGAAGAGTCCCTTTAGACAGGTGAGGAAGCAACAGACTTCTGCTGACAGTCAGCATTTAATAGAATCTGTATGACTGGTGCTAGCCATCTTTGAGGTCTAGTATACCCTGCAGGCACCTTTATCAGCCTTTGTGCTTGCAATATGGCTTGCCATAAACATGAAGGGTATGTAGCAGCAACAGCAGCTGCATGTCCTTAAATGGATTATGAAATACTAATAATGTTGCTTGCTTGTCAGTTAAACTATGTGTGTAATCCAAGAATCCAAAGCTTCTTAAAAAAGATCCTTTGTATTCCATTTCAATGTTTTTAACAGTAGAAGAGGATTGTGGAAAAGACTGTTTTCCTTTTGTTATTTTGTAATGTACAATCCTATATACTTTTTTTTGAGGAATATGTTAATTTAACTATTGCTGCTACAATTGTGTCAGAGCACCAATGCACTTCTGGGTTGAAAAGATTCTTTCACATCCCCATTAAGTTGCCCATCAAAGTGGAACCCATTTATCTATTTGCAGTCACTTGCTGATGAACTGCTGGGTAGGCCAGAGCTGGAGCATATGGCGGGAACTCTCCCCACACCCATGGCAGCAACTGGGTCTCAAACTCAAGCTTGCCAACCATCAGCCCAGCATCCTAACCTCATGAGCTACCACACTTCCTTCTTCATTTAACTTAATACGGTAGAATCATAACTCTAGGATTAAACTAGACTAGACTATTTTTTAAAAATAAATATGCAGTTTAAAAGACAGCAAAGCAAGTATACAATGCTCCCCTATAATAGGGTTTCTTCAATTTTTCAAAAGCATGGAACACCAGGTTTTTTTTTAAGAGGAATATCTCGACTGTTACTTTCAAAATAAATAAGAGGATACTTGGTAAATTCAGTACCTGGCTTTCCTTTGCACAGCCCATTTGCCTGGGTGTGTATGTCTCACAGATGGAGATCACAGATAGAACACCAATTAGCTAGTTGGGCACCCAGCCTGAAGGGCCACACTTCAAACTGGCCATTGGATGTCACCTGCACTTGCATAGCACATCTGTAAGTTGTTCACAGAGAACTGGTATTCCTTGGAACTCAGTTTAAAAACACAATGCCAAGGAATGTGAAGTCTTGAAGTTTCTGATGGCCAGCTGCAAGATCCTGTGCTGGAACCAATTTTCTTTCACTAGTGAAATCCAATCCATGCAGGCTTGTTCCTTTCATCTTCCATCCTTCAGGGAAGTAGAAATTTGATCATTTCTTCCCTAGTGCCTGTCCATAAGAACACATTTGACCCCAGAGTATTATGGCTCTTAAGGAGACCCATGCTTATTATTAATTACCTTTTCTTTGCTTAAAGAGAATAATCAAATGTGCAGGATTGTAACAATAACTCCTGTATGTCCTGTTAGAAGCAAATTATGGTATACGCAAGTGCTAAAATGCAGCAGAAATAGAGAACTTCATCGGCTGAAGTTCCTAGAATACATTGCTAACAATCTCCCCACATCCTTTAGTCCACTAGCAAAAGATCCAGGTATAAGGCCCTAATGGTAACTTTTCAAGAACATTGTATTTTCTCTGGCTCTAAATGATACTGTCCAGTAATCTTTTGCAAAGGCCATTCTGATCTGCTAAAGACTTGTTTCTTTTGCTGCCTTGCCTGAGAATCTTTTATATGAAGTTGCTGGGAACAATTCTCTGACTCATAGCTTCATGGCCTCCATAGCTTCTTTCTGCCAGACTTCCAGTTTCCAGACCAGCTGTCCCGACATCTATTTGAGGTTGACTGAAGAAGGGTCTTTTCTGAGTATACGAATCTAAGAAGAAGAAAAAGATTTTTTTTTAAAGCTACTAGTGAGCTAAATGGAAGTGGGGAGAGGGTGATGTCTCAAAGAATATATCTGCTTCACAGTTACTTACACTTCCACCATAA